TAGTTGTTCTCGCAGGTGATTTTAACGTTCAAGTTGGAAAACTGAGTGCGTCGGAAGCTTGCCTCGACTGCCATTGTGCTCTGTCTTGCCATCGAACAGATGATGGCGATTGACTTCTTCAGTTCTGCGCAGACTATCATCTGTTCCTATCCAGCAACAACGTCCGATACAGCTCTCAACGGACAGCAACGAGGCGTTCAAACTCAAACTGGCACGCTAACTCAGATGGACCCCATAGCAGTAGGTTACCATTGGCGTGGCTCGGTACAAAACTCCAGGTCTTATTGGACCACATGCACTGAATCTGATTATGCGTCAGTTTTGATGCAGTTCGCTCTCCAGCTCAATGGTTGCAGAAAAATTCACCAAACTCGATTGGCAGATCATCGTTTATCTGACCCAGCCGTTCGTTTTGAACCAAAACTAGGGCTGAGGCTCCGTGAGCAATGTCATCTGAACCTCCTACTGCCGCAGAAGTTCGTTCTTGCATCCAAGTCCTGAAGAAAGGAAAAACATCAGGACCGGACTCTCACTCTTTTCAAGATGGGGGGCGATGACCTCGTAGACGCAATTATTGATATAATGGGTGACATCTGGTCACCCGAGCGCATTTCTTTACCCTACGGCGAATCACTGATTGTTCCAATTTTTAAGGTATCATGCAACGACGGCGCAAACCACCGTGGTTGATCCCAGTCGTAACCAAGTTACTAGCCTCCATTATACTTCGATGTCAGACGCCGTTTAGAGAGATATACCCACGAACAACAAGCAGGATTTCGACCAGGCCGCGGTTGTATCGATCAAATCTTCACTCTGCGTCAAGTTCTCGAGCTATGCCATACGCAGCGTCGACCAACGGTTGTCGTGTTCCTTGACCTAAAAGGATCCTTCGACTCAGTTGATCGTGAATCTCTTATGGGTTTGTTTCTTCGCCAAGAAATACCACAGAAGTACGTGGAAATACCGAGTTCACTCTACTTACATACCTATGGTGGCTTAAGGCTCTACGGTGAGCTGATTAGGTCGTTCGTAACTAGCACCGTGTTCGTCAAGTTTGCCCTCTTTCGCCATTTCTGTTTAATTTCGTCATAGACGAAATGCTGCAGAACACACTAAGTGGTCTCCAAAATGTAGGTATTGATTGGGTAGCTGGAGAAAAGCTGTGATTTGAAGTACGCCGACGACGTCGTTTGTCTTTTCGAATCTATGGAGGATGCGCAAAGAGCACTTGACAGATTAGCAAGTGTTGTCGCTCCGTTCGGCATGTGCTTTGCACATTCAAAGTGCAAAGTGATGCTACAAGACTGGGTGTCGCCGAGTTCTGTTCTGAAACTAGACGATCAGGAATTAGCTGAAGTTGACTGCTTCTCTTACTTAGGTAGCTGCGTGATCAACGACCGTAGCGCATCAAAGATGACCGCCCGCATTCCCAATGCTCGAGTAGCGTACACAGGACTCACACACTTGTGGCGGTGATGTGACGTTTCACTGGAGTTGAAAAGTGGCGTATACTGCGCCACTGTACGATCAGTTCTGCTTTACGGATGTGAGACCTTGAATTTGCGGGTAGAAGACACCCGTCGCCTAGTGATATTCGATAATCGATGCTCACATAGTCTAGCCTAAGTGGGATGGAGTGAGCGGGTAAGTAACCTAGAGGTAAGTCGTCGGGTGTTTATGAATGCATTTAACAAGAACTCGCTCTCTCAATAAACCTAGCTCAGTAGGCTCCGTTGGTTAGGACAAGTATTGCGTACGTCCGACGGTCGCTTACCGCAGTGCATCTTATTTGTATTGGCTGTTGCAGTCGGGAGAAAGCCACGTGGAGGCCAGCAGATGAAGTGGAGACCAGGCATGAAGAAATGCACAGAGCGATTAGGTAAAGTAGATGTCTCTCTTCTTCCGTGATGGGGTTCGAAAGACTCCGAAACCGCATAGTTGGGGACACTGAAGTTCATGGCTGCGAACAGACAGCAACGGCGATCATGTTGTCACTTATTATCAGGCCAGCATGCTTGAAAATAGTATGTATTCACAGTTGGACTGTGTAGTCTGTGTGTTAACCATAGAAGTCCGCTTTCTTTTTCCATCCCTAAAATAAAGTCGAATCCCTGTCATCCTTACACATTGTCACTCACCTCGTGTGCAATATGAGTTTGGCAGCAATCAGTGAAGTTCGCTTCAGTGTATTATGCTGTACAATGACGATGATAATGAGATTACTGAACACCTTGTACTGAGGCCGCGAATTACGCCAAATAAGCAATTTGTATCCATTTCAGACAATGGTATGTTAGATGAATCAAGTTGCACTCTAGTGTTTGTACTAAAATCAAACCAACGTTTGTGCTACTGTAAAAAATCTAGCCATGCTAGGATTCTGCTGAATGCACAAGGGTGATGAGAATAAGAAAACAGTATGTATAATAGTCATGTAAAGATGTCCCTCGGTTCACTTTGTCGAATTCGAGGTTGTTTTTTGTTTTTTATTTATATTTCGCCCCATATAATGTATCGTTTATTTTAATATATTGATTCAAATATCCGTGATAGTTATTAAGAAACCGGGAAAAGTTATACACTTTTCAAAGTTTCTATTCCGCATTCAGAACAAGAGTTACAAATGTAAAACGAATAGTTGTTATGGAATGCATTCGTTTGATAATAAATGATTCAATTTTCATAAGAGAAAGGAAAAATGAGAGAAAACTCAGAAAATAACACGATTGAAATTACAATAAGAGTTCTGGTAGAAAAAGATCATGTAAACATGATTGCATAGTAATAAAAAAGAAGAAAAGCATTCGGATAAGACGCAGAATCATGCAAGTGAATCACACAGCATTCTGACCACTTGGTATCAGTTCGCCTTCGGCGTACAGCGATTTAACGACCTCCTGGAAGTGAGCTCGGGCCTTGAATCGAGCAATTTTCAAAGTTGGTGTCAGCAGCCCATTTTCTGGCGAGAAAACCTCTGTCGTGAGAAAAACATTCTTGGCCTTTGAGAAAAAAAAAGATTACTCTGAGGGGCTAGAACCCAGGTTTTTTTCTGTGAGTCAATTTAAGCGAATGGACGTTATACGACAAAATGAAACAAAACATATTTCATTATTTAGCAGTAAGTTCTTTACTCCTTGTCCGAAACGAATTATTTTCGGTTGGGAAATGTCAATGAGTCCTGATGTGGACTATCGTTTGACAATTGTTTTCTTGCGAAAGAAAAATTGACACAACTTTGAGTATTTTAAGACGTAGCTTAGACTTTAAACTGCTCATGAAGCACGATGGTTGAGCACTTGGTGTTTAAATAGTCCTACTGGTTATGCCTAAGTAATGGCCGGTAACTAAAGACGTATGAAGTACACTAACCGTATTCTGATCCTGTATATTACCGGCTGCAAAATCAAAGAAGAATGACTAAACATACAACGCCGAGGTTGAAAAAAGAGTATTGTCCAATTGTGATCGCACACAAACTCAAGTGCTTAATCTCCATAGGCTGCAATGTCTGTCTGATCTAATAAGCTTCCTTCGTGTGCATTGTCTACTGAGATAAGCAATTGTTCGAAAAATTTCAGGGTCAGCTAGACCATAATAAGTTGTTGGTTGGTAGATGTCGTCACCGAGATCATGCTAAAATTCATTGATAGTGTCATCAAGATCAGCCTAATCGAAGGCCTAAACGTTTAATGATATCCGTATCATATGACCATTAATAAATTTGGTGATTAATGACTCGGCAGAAATTCAAGATGCACGGCTTAGTATCAATAATCCACGACGGACAGTTTTAAAGTCTTGCTTCAATAGACCGGGAAACTACATGGGAGCAGCAAAGTAAAGTAGGGAGTACGCATTGTTTAACAAAAGAGAGCCAAACTTGTTGGGGAGTGCGAAATTGTCTGAGCTTCCGGAGATGAGAAGTCCTTAGAAGTCCTAATAGTCATTAGGTTTGTAGTGTTTTGAAACTTATCTTCGTTTTCTATATAACTCAATCGTGTCTACCACGTCTTGTGCACACTTCCTTGTATCACAATCGAGGTAAGTCACCCAGTTACAATCAAGACGAAACGTTACTCGCCTGGAAGCGCTATTTACTCACTTCACCGCGCTCGATTACTTTACATCTGAGTTTGAGTGCGAACCATATTTATATCTCAATGAATCTCTTGGTTCATGATCTTTGAAGTTTCTGTTTATTTTTGATTCTCAATTATCTCCCATTCCAAAGTAACCTCCTATTCGCCGACAGTTCTAGTTCACGCTCAGAATCCATCTACACTCGTCTGTTTCACGTATCTCTTCTCAGGGAAAATCAGGCTGCACGTGTGAACCCAATCAAACAGCAGAAAGTGGATTGCTACTGATGCTTGACAGTCTTGGTCTTATTTTTTTAGCCGTTAAGGGAATTGAATTAGCGGTGATCCACAATCCTATTTCAGTTGGACAATTTATGATTTATTCCATAAAGTGCATCGTTCAGTCACTTGTTGCAACACACCAACAAATGTCAATGACGTTAGTCAAACGGCTCCAAACTCTGAAACTAACTGCGGTTGGTAATTCACTTTATGTTTGCAAATCGTTTTATTGGTCAGTTATGCTACAATCAATAAGGAACAGCTGAATCTCAATACTATCAAAAATATTCCACAAATTCACAAGTGATGAAAAGCATAAACATCCCAAATTACCCTTACCATCTCAAAACCCTTCAATTTCCGTTGGCGTGCTAGTGTGTTCAGTTGATTCAACACAAAGAGTCGGACGTGAATGTTGCAGCACAACTCTTCGTCCGATAGGGCTCCCAGTGAACTAGTTATGTTCGGCAAGGACCCTGTTGCTGGTTGTTTCACTCCCATTTGGGCAACACTTTTGCGTAATTCCAAAAAGTCAGGCCAAACAATCGCAACAGCGAATGAAACGTTTGAGCTCCCATCAACGAGGATAACCCGGACCAAGTTAGACAATGCGTACACTCCTTCCACTTTCTCGGGGGCAATATATTCGCCTTGAGCAAGTTTGAACATACTTTTGCATCGATCCACGATTTCAAGACCGCCTTGCTGAAAATTTGAAATAGGACCAATAACAACAATTATTGCTTGCTAAGCGAAGTTACTAGAGGGCAGAGTACAAATATCAGGAAAGCTAATATAAGAAAAATTAGCTGCCAATGCCAAATGAAAAGGACCAGGCGGATACGCGGCAAGCGAGAAGTATTGTTGGGAAGAAAAAGGAACATTTATTTTCACTTATTCACTTCATTACTTCAACTCTGTGTTGCACCCATGCAATTTTTCATGTGCTGTCTGGACTATGAAAATGTTTCATTCTGTCGCTAGAATGAAAATGCATGCTTTGGTTCGTGATGCTCGTCTCCCCCTTACCCTACTACTGTTGTGAGATACTACTCGCTTGTGAATAGTACGCAGAAAGATGCGATCAGCAGTTTCTTTCAACGACCAAAAATCAACAAGACCTGTTGGAGCAAACTGCTGATGTTCCTTATGGTGAATATAAGAATGCGCATCTAATAGTGAATCGTTCCATCAACTGTTCTGTGTGAGTGTGAGAATTTTACAACTTTGTTCCAAATGAAAGATTTTGTTGTATGAATGACAGTTTAAGGAAATCTCGAACGTTATTGGCAATAAATAACTATCCTCGACCAGCACCGTCTTTAGGAAGTATAACACTCCCATCGACTACTCTTTTGACTGAGATGTTTCGCCTTTAATTTTTCCGTTATTTCTGTTTTCTGGTGGTTTTCTTAGCCAAGACTCATTTGTACCTCGTGAACAGGTTCACCTACTTGGGTCGTTCTTTCGTTTGCTACATGCTTTTGTGTGGTCGGATATATACATATATATCTATGTCAATAATATAATCTTAAGAAAGTACGTAAACTTTATTCGTTGCTATGTGGAAAGGCCCATCGTTCGGAGATATAAAGAATGTTGGTTTATTTAAGCATCTTTGGTAGATTCTCACTCAATTTATCTGCATACATTTGGTGGTAAATGGAATGCACCATTTAGACCATTGGTCGCATAGTTACTACGGGATCGTAAGCAGCTGGAATACTTTTAATTGATGTGGCCCTGAGATAGCAAGAGGGAATAATTCCCATCGATTTCAAAGGTGACTGCATTCACTGTGTTTATACTTCATCCACCATCACGGAGTTCGAGATTTCCAGTCCATTTCACTAACTCTGTTTCTTTCTTCTTCGTGACTTTTATGTAAGACAGCAACCATAATCACATGATTAAAATGTAAAGGTTGAACGAAGAGAACGGAATATTAGAACACAATTCCGAAGGCGAACAGCTGTTTTCGAATGATTCATAATCCCTCCTGTACATATCAAATAAAAGTTTGTTGTTAGTGGTCACACATTTTCACGCCAGGTCGAATCAAATCGAACCAAATCGAATCGTGCATTAAATATTAGGATTCTTAAACGGCCCAAGTCCAAATTCCATTCTCACTGCTGCGGACAGCTAGTAGTTAAAAATTAATGACAATTAGAGTAGATTTCGTCATAGGTGTAACCAAAATCTGGAACAGTATAGATTGGCTGTGTCAATCCCATCAACTGGACTGTACCTAGAATATCTTTCTTCTATCTACTTTGTATTCAACGCATAGATGTAAACACCGTGCACGGATCGGAGGGAAAACTGTGCATAGACGCCTGTGCAACAGAGCTGGGATCAGGCTACGCAGAACTCTACACTAAGGATATGTATTTTTTAACTAGCAATGATATGTAGCAGTTAAATGGACTATTCGCTATACGCGAGTTCCTGATGCACTTATACAGACGATTTATTCGGAACTGACCTCGTTCCACTGAGCGATATCTCCGGTTCTTAACCAACCCTGTTCGTCATACAATTTGGCAGTGTTCTCGTGGTCTCGATAGTAGCCAGATGTACATCCCGGACCGCGGAAACAAACCTGAAATGAGAAAAAAATACAATTTAGAATTGTGTATTGCCTATTGAAGAGGGATATTTTGTGTAAAAAGACTATTCTGCGAGACGATTTACCCTCAGTTCGTCGTCGTTCTAGCCATTAGAACAAACTACAATATTCGGGTATTGGGACAAAATTGATGTAAATTGACTTCTGCTTCATCGGTCAGGATTATATTTTCTTCATTGGCTGATATTAGTCATCATCAAGGTAAATGAAATCCAGGTTAATGATTTTGTCTGCAAAACTAATTTCAGAGATCAGATTTCCCTAATCCAATCTTTTTCCATTAGATGCAACTTTAAGAAGTTATTCGAAATATCAAAATAAAAGCTAAAAATAACAAAATGTCACCAGCCTATTGTTTAATCAATGTGCATGCTGTATTGGCCGATGAACATGTGTAATTCGTATACACAAAGAACAAATCATTTTCGTTTATGTTATTGAAGGTGGATACGAAGACCGAGTGAATTAATCACGCTCGAAAGTTTTGTCGTTCGCTTACCTCACCCCGATGATTGCGATTCACAAACAATCCCATTTCTGGAACATCCTTTAGTTTCACATGGTATTCGTACATCAGTGCACCCCCGGAACCCAAGGAACAATCACCAATGGGGGTGGCACTACCACCACCAGTTAATTCGGTCATGCCATATACTTGAACTACCTAAAAGAAAAATTCGTGTTCATATATGCTTAGTAATTTAACACAAACGAATAGAGAAGACAAATTATTCTTTCGTGCAAGAAAGTAGTGGATGAATTGATTCGATTGTATAATTAATTTACTCATGTACAGAGCAAAGGAGGCGTGAACTGAAAAGCTGTAAAACCCTATACAGCTATTTTGGCCTAATTATTGCCACATTAGCAGTACGAATCCCGAGATTGAGGCTCGAACTCGGGACTTCATCATTTAATCGACTCAAAGCATTCATTACTCCCTTGTAACAAGCAGTTTCGTTCCAATTGTTTCCATCATGATCACCATCCTGTAGGTTAGAACTTGGATGAGTTAATTGTGACGCCTGCAAAAGCTTGGAGAGATCTGGTTGTGCCATTTCGTGTAGGAAGAAAATTAAAAGCAGTCCGATCAGCCCGGTGGTCATGTAGCTAGTAGGCTTGCATTCTATCTATGAAGTCTGTGATCCGTTCTCAGTTGGGTGAGTAGATTCGCATGGCCGCATTCAAATGGACAAAGAGATAATATGCTTTCTATTGCTTGTGTTTATGCTTCATTTGCTATACATAGTACTAAATTCACTAAATAAATTGCATTTTACTGAAGATGATGGTGTACGAAGTTTGTGCAAAATTACGTGTTTAGACGATACCTAGAAGTTAATGAAGTCATTCACGAACTATGTGTAAAATGCAAGGGTTGTCTTAGAAAGGCTAATGCCCTTTGATATATTTTTATTCACAGCATAATTTGACGCATTAAAGAAATGATTTCATGCATCGTTTGTCCGATGTCTTTCCCGAAAATGCTACATCAAGGATAAAATTCACAACCGAGACAAATAGGTGTATAGTGTATAAATAACGGCCATGACAAATGATAATTCAGAACACCACAAATCTTTTTACTCAGCAATTAAATCTTGATTAACACTTAAACGTCCATCATAGTGTTTATAATCAGCACTCACATCAGTGATAGCGTTGTGCGATACTACTCACATTCGTGATTAATGTCTTTAGTGCGCGCACAAAGAGGGGATTGGGGGATTTTCACATCTAACGGTAAAATAGGGGTTTAATATTGTGACTAAAGAAGCGACGAAAAGACTATCAAGCTGACAATCACTTATGAACGGACATTCATGAAACTACTACCGACTGTAGGACATTAGATGTTCCGTTCTTTACAGTCCTATCTACCCCATATCTATGCTGTTCTTCCAATAAGTCACTCTCCTAAACCCGACGCTGCCTCATGGAACTGTAACAGTAGTAGTAGTAACAGCAACAGTCACACAGTAGCGATTCAATAACTAGAGTATGTTCATAATGTTTGTCTTATTGACAAAGGGGGCTGTGTGATTGGGATCCTTGTAACTGGAAACACGAGAGACAGTCTGTGAATCAATTTTATTCTTGTCGTGGTCATGATCATAATGATTCCTAAGCAATATAGGAATCATCACGTTGGTTGGGGCATTTGTTACGCATACCACCAAATAGGTTGCCACGGTGAGCGATGTTTCCCGAGGCAGGTAGTGGGTGGAATAAAGCCCAAGGTGGTCAAACTAAGACCTGGCATGATAACCCTAACCAGGAGTCTGGGTCACATAAGTCCCGTCAGGCTCCCTGAATGGGGACCTGGGGATGGTCGTACCGGATGGTTAAAGACACTGAGTGACGTTCGTGCACCTTCTCAATTTCTCTGTATCATTCGTCCACTGAACTTTTCAACTGTTTCTTTGATCCTCCTTCAACCTTTCTTGTCTTCATCCTAATGTTCATGCAAATGGGCAGCCGAAAGATAGCAACCAAAACCGGCGCACGATAGTGCATGGTTAATGGTTGTACAAACTGAAACTGAAACCTAAGCAATATAAAAGCGATTATTATGATGTGGATCATTAACCCCTCTCACTCATTTAATTTGGTATAGAATATCACGAAATAGGTCAAAATCATCAGATTTTGTTACTCGTATTTGTACAGATGCAATGCTTTTGTTTCGTTCTCAACTTACAAGCATTTCAACATTTGCTCATGATAAACTATCTAAAAGGGTCACATGTACTTCACTGGCGTGGCCTTTGAAATTGGCCGTGTCATTTTTTGTTATCACTTGACCTTTGCTTTTTTCATCACGCACAACCTCTGTATTTACTTTTGTATCAATTACGGTGACCTCAATGATAACCTACAACACGCTCAGTTTAATTTCCGAACGAGTATCCGTTGAATATATCAACGAACCGTCCTAACGTGCTTTTACTCGTTTTGTGAGAAATAAGGTTCAAAGCATTACCAGAAATTAACATGGCAAACGGAGAAAACTTCGCGCTGACTGGAAAGTTGCACTTGAGCACCGAAACCTGAAGAGCATTGGTTTTCCGAGCATTTTGTCGTCCACTGTCTGCTCAATTCTTTCTAAGCTATCGGACATCGGTCTTCTGATTCACTACGGAGAGTACGCCAAAAGTTGTGTGCTACTTTTCGAAGAATCTTAGTTACAAGAATCTATCGAGGACGAATTGATTCAAATCGAACGCTTCCAATTACTTCGAGCAGACAGACCTACCGGAGGGAAATTTAAAAGTGGAGGCGTTATCACTTATGTGCATCGTTCGTGGTGTAACTTCACCAAATGCATATTCACTCACCGTACACAAAACATTTTTTGTATTTCTGTAGAATGTAAACCACGTTTTCTCCTGCGTCACTCTTCGATCATCTTTCAAAACTATACATCACTCCTGATTGTACTCTTAGTGAGTTGTCCACCTTCCTGGATGTATTTTATCCAATCATGTTGGAGAAATCTGTCACACCTGTATTCATCGTTGCTGACAATTTCAACAGATCTGATGTGAGTTTTTAAACACTTATGTCCCTTCAGAACATTGTTACTTTTTCCACTCGAAACGGCGCCTCCTTGGACCACTTTTTCATTAACGAACCATCTTTTGTTTGTGCCTTCAAACGTACATCAGTAGGCTCTTCATGCCATTGGACCTACTGCTCTCTCGCTATCTCTTTCGGTCTACTGTCTAAGGATTTCATAATAATTAGACGCTCTCTGAAAAGCATCTCTAGATATGAAGCTGTATCTCATGAGGAGCTGGTTGATTCCATTGTCAGCCAACACCTGAATGCGCGTGACCGTCTATGTGACTCCATCTTGCCCAATGAGTCAAATTCCTTACACACAGCCCTATCTAGCTCCATTTCAACTTCTGTAACCCGCAATAAATGTAAACCTTTATATACTCGTACCACTGCTTTTCACAACTCCGTTGTACCTTACCTTCCACGTTTGTTGATTTCTGGGGTGCGAATATCAAACAAACTTATACACATTATAATGTAAATTTTCACCTTGAAATTTTATTTTTATTTTTTTAAGCGTTCCCGGTGTTCGATTCATTATCATTTCAGTAACTATTTGTCATATCCTCAAGTTCATTTTTAATAGTGCGCATGCCAAAGCAAAAGCGATAACTTTCTTTTCACTGAAAATTTTGTCCACATTGAATGCATAAAGTGCACTGTGGACTTGACTTAAATTGTTGAAGTTTCTATTGCGCCAAAATCTATTTTCACTTAACTTACGTTTTCATATCAATGCCCGGAAATAACTAAAGCCGAAATATATCAGATTAGTGCACTCACTGGACAGCCTAAAGCAGCTCGGAAGAAGCGTATCACATCCGGTTCCATGGCAGCGCTCGCGGAAACTATTAAGGAAACACGTCCACCCATAGCTTTTCGAAACTTTTTGAAAAATATTCGATCAACAAAACTGCTGTTGGAGAAAATTCCCCTGTAGAATTTGAAAAAGAAATCAAGTAAAGGAAATTCAACGTTGTCAAGCTTCTTAATTTCGCTACAAATAAAAGACATCAGGTTTAAATAAAAAGTATTTCTAAAGTTCTTAACGTGCAGCTAATTTCAACAACATTGGGAAAATAGGAATTTCTAAGAAATATATTTTCTGAGTAATCCGGCTGTTAAATCAATCACGATGCGACAAATTTGATAAAAAAAGAGATCAATCCATGATTTATTACGATCCCTAAACGGGATTAAACGTCCAAGGTACTAGTACGTTTGTATGTCCAATCGATTCGCTGACTTCGGAGAAAACCAGGAATGAACTTCTTAGCCAACTCCTTTAAGTGAACAACCCGTGATTGACCGACCAGACGTCAATCCCGCATATTCCTTATCTATTTCATTTTCAAGCATCATGATGAAAATCATAGTATTATTCAACTCACTAACGCAAACACTATTTAGTACGTTTGATGAATCATTCATCCAAGATGAAATAACAGACCAAATTTGTCCTGTATACCGTTAATTTAGGAGTATTTAAGGAGCTTGACGGCACACTGATTCAAATTCAGGAATGTCGTCTCGAACGTTTCTATTGAACTTCGTAGTAGATTTAATTCTTGGAACAGCCCTATCCTCGTGCGAGGATAGCGGTATCGATTCACTCCCGGGTGACAGACTGTCTGATTTAAAGTATGCAGATGGTATTGTGCAACCAAGTGAAGATCCAGGTAAGTTGCAAACCTTTCTGGATATTTTGTGTGCTGGTGTAGCCATGTTCGGTATGCGTTTTGCACCTTCAAAGTATCAAATGTCACTACAAGATTGGGTTGGTCCAGCACCCAGTCTCACTCTGACTGGGGAAGTAGTAGAGGAAGTAGACAAATTTTACTATCTGGGCAGCTATATTTAACCTGGCGGAGGCATCACAGATGAAGTGTCAGCGCGCATACAAAGGGATCGGTTGGCATTTGTCAACTTGAGACATATTTGGCGTCGTCGCAACTCCCGATTGTCTGTGAAGGGTCGAGTATATGCTTCTACAGTTCGGCCAGTTCTGCTTTAAGGTGCAGAGAATTGGCCATTACGAGAACAGAATAAAAATAGATTGTCTATTTTCGAACACCTGTCTACGTCAGCAACCGAAACCGGCGCACGAAAGTGCATGGTTAACAGTTGTAAAAACTGAACTGAGCTGAGTATATAGTTGTGAAGTGAAAACACTACGATTGACTTCCTATGACCGTTACCAGAAAGCATTGACTTGCAACCCCGAACGTCAAAACAGCTTCATATTCCTTCAACCTGATAGAATCTAAGAACAATATCACAATTTCAAACTGTCAGACACAGTACGACATTGTAAAGAACCAAAAGTTTATCCCTGCTAACGAACAACAAGTGTAATAAGTGAAATCTCTGAAACGGTAGAGGTATGCCTTGACCGATGCTTGCTGTGTAAAAAAGGGCCCCTCTGACCGACTCCGATTATTCTATCATAAATGTTTTTCCAAAAGTCTACTCAAAGAAATATCATGGTACAGTGACACATATCCAGCCGGAAGACTTTTCATAGGCTGTGCGACCCGGTCCACTTGACACCACTGAGAGACATGGTCTCTTGTACAAATTTTGATCAGTTCTTTGATCCAAGTGTCTCGGTCTAGTGTGAACACCTTACTAGCTATTTGAACTTCTGCTTTGACCTCTGCTGCCGCATGGCTCCTACACACAGCCTCGCCAGATTTTCTTCCCCCAAGGAACGGGTAAATAAAAATCGTAACCGAGCTTTTAGTTAAACAAACGTCAGTGGTGATCAAGAAAGAGAGCCGAAATCTTGACAAACTCTACACTGAAACCCCACTTGGTGATCGGAATTGCTAACAAATATGGAGTGCTATGAAAAAACTCTGTGGAACAAAAGTCAAACTACGCGAACCTCAATCCACAGCAGCTGAACTTAATTGCATGCTTTCCACGTCAACAATTGTGTTCCTTTATTTATTTAAAAAACCCACTGTTTTACTCACCCCATTTGTATATTCCTGTGTTGCTATTCATCCTTTTTACTGCTCCTCAATTTCATTTTTCGGTCTTAGAGTCAAAGATTACACAATTCTACGCTGGTCTATCAAAATTATTTCGCTCACAAGCGGTATTCCCTATTTGCACTTGGTTAACTTTATCGCCAGGAAACATTTTGCCTATTGCGAAAACTTTTGCAACAGTATTCTATCAGACATCACTCACCCATTACACACAACTTAAACAAGGCGTATCCACTTTTGTAACTAGATTGCGTTATAAAACTTATGTATGCCCATACCACTGCTTACCGTTTGTCAGTTATCCTAAAGCGTTCGGGATTTTTGGCACAAAAGCTATCCGTTAGAGAAAACCTTTTGAATTTCCTACGCAAATGATATCCATTTTCAAACTTTTACGCCACATTCCTAGTAAGTTAACGATGCTATATTTTACTTTTTCTTTGTGACTGTATGCGATGATAAACGACCCTGCTGCCCAAGGCGCTGAGAATCCATCCGTTAGGTTGAATAAGGCGTTTTTTGAATCTGACATTGAAAAATCTCTAGTTGAAATTTCAGTGTTGCTTACTTGAAGGAAATACTGCTCGCTAGTTCATCTCCTCAAATGAGTCACATGCAAGAGTTCGCTGGAAGTATTGACAGAACTTTCATTCAAAATATCGTACCTTAAACGTTTTGCGTTAAACGCTTGCTTTTTGTGCTCTCTTCTACTTTTACTGTCGTAATGCATAGCTTCGGATTCTTATCGAAATAAGCGGAGAATGGAGAAAGTTTTACCGGGACTCAAGTTTGAAGCCATGGTTTAGAGTTTCAACATGTGTGTTCATTTGAGCTTTATAGGCGGGTACTGCTGGGGAATCCAACACATGAGCAGGATGACGAGTCTTAAGTTCTGACAAGGATCTAAGCGCAAGCAGCAGATGAGGCGGAGCGAAGACCGATTTACTTGGACTGATTACTCCTCTAACACTTTATGCTGCCTGAGACACCAACTCTAGTCGAAACCGTAATCTGAAAAACCAAGAGACTGGACTTTATTTGAACCTCACTCTGATCTCCCATGTATGAGTAGATCTTCGGCTCAACAAAAAAATATCTTGCGTTGATCTTGGAGTCACAGAGATGCACAAGCCATAACATTTTGTCAAAGTGAAAGTTAATCGTGAGTAATTATATTATGACCTCCACTGAACCAGGCTAAATGGGCTCCTTTTAGTGAATATGCCAATGAATTATAAGCAATATACGCTTTTTTATTTTTGAAATCAAATTTAATTTACATGTCGTCGGTTGAATTTGAAGATCTGCAATGATCGTTTCGATGTCCCCAGGCTAGGTGGTGTGCTTGGAGGTGCTTTTTCAACTTCATATCAAAAGCATTGCCTTCAAAGCTTTCTGCAGATTTTTCCATCAGTCAGTTTATTTTACAAGATTTAAAGAAATATCTACGCGTATGAAGATCTCCGCTTGTCAGGATCCTAAAACGGATTCAATGCGGAATAAAATACAAAAAGCTTCTTTTAATTTACTTGCCAACTTTTGCTCCCTTAGTTCCCAACCTTATCATAATAATCAAGTCACAAATAAAATGGCGCGAAATAACAGCAACAAAAAAAAACTTTATGACCTCATTATGTTCATACCTTACCATGGTCATTTTACTTCATGGAAAATAATTTTATTTGTTCTCAATGAATAACTCATTTTTGTTTACCTTTGTGGTTATCTTCTCTATGTATTCGGTAAGAAAAATAAACCTCACTGAATAGTTTTCATTTTTTTAATAACATTCTTCGCTCTCCTTGCCATTCCGGTTTGCGTTTCGTGTGAAATCATACTTCTTAAAACAGACAATCATCATTTGGTGTGTGCAATGTCAGTAAACTGTCAAAAAGTGGACATATGTCGGCCTTTTATCCGGGACACAGAGTGAAATAATATAAAACTTTTTCCAGCCAGGTATCTCAAAATATATCACGTTATGCATTTTGGAATACAAACTTTTGATCATATTTGTTCAAGATAAGCGTTGAGTGGGAGAATTCTAGATAGTTATCGAATAGATCAACATTCTCCTTATTAAACTTACTTTTCCTGCTCAGTATTCTTCGAATCAATGAGGTGCTGCAAGCGTTTTTGTAGATTAGTCGACTTCGGAAACTTCTTGTAAAATTCCGAACGTATTCGGTTGAGAACTCTAGGTACCGAAGTAAACACGGTTGGTCGGATGGCAGCAATATCTGCCAAAAGTGATTCCGGGGGATTAGTGACAATGCCAGCTCTTGCGCCCGATAGAAGTGTGGCACCCTGAGGAAAGCAAAATGTTTGCAATAAATCAGAATAAACTGTAAAAAATATGAATTCAGTTTGATAATCCAAACTCTACGTTGCCTGTAGTCCATATCGCATAGTTCGTAAATTCATCAGAATGAAGGATTTGGGAGATATTTAAACAAAAAATAACGAAAATTGAAGTATGCATAAACAAACCTTCTGACCAAGGATACAATGAGATTGTACCCAAAAAGCAAACGCATTATTAGCTGAACACCAACAAATCGTGTGAATTACTTGAATAACATCTACTTCTTGAACTGAAATCCATCATCTCAAGAGAAAGAAAACTGTTGCGAAAATCATAACCGTTTCAACTGAAATCCAGAAAATTTAAGAAGCCACCGTGACAAATACGCAGCTCTTGCCTATTGTCATACCTGTATATAATCCTATGATCTGAGCAGATAGCTAAATTAATGACGGCTTGAAAATTTTTATTTTCATACGGCAAACAACAGACTAAATAATGTTTTGCTTTTTATTGTTTCTGATCCGCCTCTAAATTCACATTCTCGGACATTGACACCTGTAAGGACGGTCTATCGCTCCGAATTTCCGAGCAATGTCTAAAATATTCTAAGTTCTTGTAGGTTATATTCTGAGTTGAGGCCTTCAATTATTATTCCCAAATAAAAGACATCTCGTCTGTATGGGCTCGTGGAAAGCATGCTGTCCCCGAAAGCTTCAGGCATCGTTTTTGTAGGCCACTTTCTCTGGCATATCTAAAAATGCTATACTTTTTGCGATTTAGGTACGTTTTCCCGAATTTTGCAGCATACTGGATAAATCACAAGCCAGCGCATAGATAAAACAAAATAGATCCCATCATCTAAACGTCTTAAATATCTGTACATAGTATTAGAGTGGAACGTGAGCTAGTTATTTTGAGAATTCTCGAATCCTAAATTGAANAAAATCCCCCCCCCCCCCCCACATCAGTCATTCAAGATGCCACCTTCATTGAAGTGCTTTGATTTCTAGACCCAAACTAGCCCTTTTAATTCAAATTCCAGGTGATTCACCTCTCGACTTCCTCAGTGTTTGTAGTGTGGTAAGCATCGGGGCTAAGCAGTGAGAACTATATTGAATCCTCTTCGTAATTAACACTCCGTGAACAACTCTGATTTCTGTCCCATCTGCTCGACATTCGGTCGGTAGCGTTTGCTCGCTCTGGTCTTTCAGCCGTGCTCGTGGATGCAGATTTTCAACAGTTGCTTTCTGTAGGAATGTTCACCGACCTGCTGCACTGCTTGTTTGTTTATCTTCAATTAATTACTGACAAATATTCCCGGTTCGCTTACGCAGCTATATCTCTGTAGTATATGAATAACTTGGCAATACTCCCTTGGAAGTAGACAATCGGTTTTGCGGTGCCTGCCATTCGTCAGTCATACGTTTCCGGTTATCTTTGGTCAATTCATTCATGCAGTAGCAAATGAACGACTTGAAAACAATTGTCCGTTCTTGCAAATAAGGTTACTGTGACGAAAGCACACTTCCTGGGCACAAGTATATGAATGAAGTGCGAAAACATTACCGGATGAGAACGGTCAAACAGGTCGTATGCTTCTAAGGAAATTTTGTTAGGTCATTCATTTGTTACGTATGATAAAACATTCTGTAAATACGCTTAAGTCACGCTTGTTGCGTTTAGTGGCATCTAACTGAGGTACAAAACTTCAAATCATAGTATAGATTCAAGAATGGATTTTTTCTGGAAGAGATGACGGAATAAATTTACCCGCTGTTGCAAATGAGGTAATTGCAGTTCAGTATCTCAAACCCACCTGACCTGTACGTATGCTGACACTTCAAGGAATAAACCTGTTTGTACTCGCTTTGTTCATTTATATTTTGTTGAACAAACTGCCTACTGTCTGCTAGACCCCCAACCCCCCGAATCTAACGTTATTTGTAGATCTGTTCTTTTTTGTTTTGTTTTACTCTGAATTCACTTTGAACTAAGTCCAGACCAGTTTCGAATCGCTTCCGAATGCATAATTCTCTGCTATCTGCCTCCCCTGTTACCCATTACTACTGCTTCTGCTATTTCAATAAAGAACCACTCTAATAATCCGCACAGTCTACTAACTCCCCTTAATCTGGTTTGGACTGGGTTTTATTGGTAACGTTATCCTTTATGCTGTGAAATCTGTACCGATTCTAGACACTTGCCTGTTCTCCTCTAATGCTATCTTCTCACATGATATGTTACCGTTCCACATGGTGGCTTTCCGTTCATCTTATCCATGTACCAAAGGCAATGAAATTTATCTTGCCTAGGAGTGTCGTACGTTTATTTGAAATAAATCACCTTAGGGATGGGTGTTTAGATTCTTAGGAACGGACCGTGTTCTGTTGTTAGTCAGATTCCATCTATATATAAGACTCAACCGCAGCAATCATATTAAAAGCCAATGCACACAATAATCTGTAAGAGACTGACGGAAATGTCTCAGCAAAGAATAATCCAGACACCTTTCAGTACAATGGGTATGCCAAAGAGCTCGACTGGATTTTTAATGGCAGAAGCCGCACTGGCAATCCTCATTGCGAAAATGGACTTTTGCATTGAATTATAAACAAACATGGCACTGACTAGATCGTTGATGATCTGTCTGAAACAGCTACAATGAAAAAAAGTTGAGTCCAAACTTTCGAGGGTGACAGTGCAAGTATAACGGTTACTATCTGACTGATGTTCAAGGGCGACGATATTGGCCACTTTGTGGCTGTCAGATCTTTTGTTGCAAATCCGCTGCTCCACTTTACAAAAGCCCACATTTCAAAGCTCTTTATCAGAGCGTTGCTTCGTTTTTCGACCAAACCACATGTCACCTATGAATTTCAGTGCGCAAAAGGAGCCACCAACGTGGGACAGAGATAAAGCTGTGCACTCAAACGGTCGGCCAAATAAGTTGAAAACGAGTTGATGGGACTGAGGGCAATACAAACAGCCAATCCGTCAGATCAGTTGCACATGTCATCTGCTTCTTCAATAACTCCTCACGCGTTACCAATTGACCACTGAGCTTATTACGGGGCATCGCTACGGGTTATTTGCCAACTCCCTAGGAATGGCCACTAAGAGTTATCGGTTATACACCCTGGCATCATTATTTTATGCTACCGCTTCTTCCACCCTCTTCCATTCCACTGCAGTTGCACCTTTCAACTTTCCGTTCTATCTTTTCTTATACATCTATGTGTAGATACAAAGAGCGTATTCCACTCCTGTTTTACTACACTCACTCTCCTGAACACAAATATTTTTCTTCTCAGTTATTTTCTTCACTCGATCCGTTTCCGTTCCACAAGCTCGTGATTTTCACGAAATCCCAGTATCTGATTGTTCTTTTCACAGCCATGTACAAATTCAAGCCTGACTTTGAACTATTAAGCATCACAAAATTAAACTGCCAACCTGCTCCAAGCGATGCTTTGCTTTGTTTTAGTGATATCTAAAGCCCTGTGTCAGTCAAACTTTAAATACGCGAACCGTGCGGAAATTAGTAAATTTATGCAATATTCCATCGGTCCAAAAATCGAATCGTGTGAATTGCACGCATATTGCAACCATCAATTGACTTACCATGTTCACCTGTTCGAAGATGTGTGCCAAAGGTAGATAAGAAATGTGTCGTAGTTTTGGGGAAAAGAACTGGAAAACAGACAGAGAAGAAGCAAAGAAAATATCATGTCCCAAATGAAAATAGGCATGGGTCAGTTCAATTGCCTCAACCTTTTAGGCTCAGTTTATTCCATTACAAATCATGACATGGACCGGATGCAAACCAGAATCATTGAGTGAATGCACAACAATTTACTCTTTTGGATATTACTGCATTGAAACAATATTAGAACAATTGCACTGGGTTTCCTCAGTTCATTTTACTACGGAGAAGCATTTCGCTTTCAAAATATGGGTTATTGGAGGTTCTGAAAGAAAATGGTTTTGTATTTGGAGGTTTAGAGATGTTTCGTGGTAAAGCATACTGAAACAATAAACCACCTGAAGCCTGGATGATCTTATTCACAGCACTAATCTTAAGTTGCTTGGAAATTCGACTGATAAGTGGTGAGTTTTAGTAGAGTGTCGCAGACTGATTTCTAAGTCAACCCTATGAATTCGTTTTGATCGCTTCACTCAGTCACTGGTCTGTGTTCAAAGAGGATTCAATGTCGTCCATTGTGGCCCTGAAACAAATCGCCATAGTCCCCTGCTTGTGATACTCATCGATCATATTTGACAGAGTCATTCGCTCAAGGTATTTACCAACAACCGTGTGACCCAGGGGTAAGGGCTTCAGCCCCCAAGAGGAAGGCTACTAATCTGAGTCCCGGAAGGGATACAAAAATTATGCATTATTTTTGCCCTTCACAAGGGATGAAAAAGCTGTTAAGTGCTCTTTATCGTTCATCAAAGAGATTTCTAAAGTATTAGGCATAAACAGGACATCGGCGGGTGTCAATAAGCAATCGAATAATGTGAACCACAATGAAGAATCTTAAAATTAAATATGACATGTGCGTCTTAAATTTTGTATCAACGATTATTCTCAAACAGAATCTACTCCAGTTAGAGACTCAACGCTTATGATATTGTAGTGAGGACGATATGCGAACTGGGAAAAGGTGAATGCCTTTGAAGCATTTCGATAAACTGAAGATCAATGGGGATCAACAGAAATATTAATAATTTAGCTCAGATTGCAGGAGAAAGTTCTACGATGGTTTTTACATCAGCACCATTGAAAGTTTTAGAAACCAGATGACCCTGTTTTCTGATGTTCATTACTATATTCAGTTTGCTTAAGAAATGTCGCTTCCCACGTGTGATGCAGCTGCTTACACTGCTCACTCCGTTTCATTCTCATTCGATAAAGAGTCTGCCATCGTCCGTTTAATCTTCTTCGAATATGCCGATGTTTTCGAATGACTTGAACGTGACATGTGAAGCAGAACATGTC